AAAGAAAAGAAAAGGAAAGAAAGAAAAGGAAAGAAAGAGAAGAAAAGAAATCACCATTGGGTCCTGAGCTGGAAAGGGATGTGGTTGGCGCACTTCCCAAAGACCAGGCTTGACTACGTGATATCCTAGGTCACGTGTTCCTGCTTGTACCTTTAGACACTGTCGGTGGACCACTCCCTTGTCCCACCCCTATCTTCCACACTGTGTCAAGGTCAGTGGATAAACCATGGAGGCCCCTGGCTCACAACAGGTACCCAGGCAGGATAGGTTGGTGTTCCTCTCTCTGGGAAAACAGGTGCAGCTCCCCTGAGGAGCAGTACATAATGAACATGCAGTATCTTGAAAATAGCATGGTGATTCCAGATTCCAAAGGGAAACTGACAGAGGACCCCCACAGGGAAATCCACTGTATCCCCAAAATGAAGCAGGTGAGCCACATTGGAACACTGACCTCAAGCCAAGATCCCTCCCCAAACATTGGGATGGCAGGTAGCAGGGGCCCCAGAAGAGCTCAAGTGTGCACTTTTGAGACAGTGTGGCTCCTGGACATAGTGCTACCTCAGTCCTCACCCATGTGGGAAGGTGGTGGGGATATTCAAGGGAGCTGAGTCTTGCCTGTGTGCCCTTCCCCCAGGCTGGGAGGGCTTCCTGGAGAAGAAGGCGTGCCAAGGCTGGGTAAAAATGGACAGCAGGACTCATGGGGCAGGGTTCACTGTGCCCTACTTGGGCTGGGGCACATGACTAGTTTTCTCTGAGGCAGCACATTTTCCATTCTAAAAATAGCCCACGATGACCCAAGACATCTTCCCCTCCCAAGGAGTCCCATGGTTCTGGGTTGTTGTTTTCCCAGAATTTTTGTGATTTCTGAAAGCCATGAACAATAAAACCATTATGGCTGCCACTGCCTGTCCGATGATGCCCCAGACACAACAACCTAAGTACCAACGTTCAACCCTTCACTGAAGGAAGAACTTGCCCTGGGAGGTGAGGGAAGCTCCCTTTGACAACTCTTTTTAGTCAGCCTGCCTTCTCCCGCCATTAAGGGATGCAGGGATGCTGTTCAACCAGAAAGGATCAGCGGCCACCCGCCCCTCCTCTCCCCGCCCCTCCATGCACACAGGTTGACAGCAGGACATGTCTATGAACCCTGAGGGTTTTGGCCTCTGCCTAGACCTGAGCTAGCCACAGCTGGAGGAGCTTTTAACGGGACACCGACCGGATTTCTGTCTGCCCTGAAAACCTCCCCACCTCGATTTTGGTGGTATTTCTGGGATGTTTAGGACACAATCCTTTTGAAGAGGAGGCACCCACTACTGGTCCGGTGACTCCTGGGATCCGAGTTCCTTGACTGCCTGTTGGCAAGCAAGGGGCTATTTTTACACATCTGAGTGGGGCCCTACTAACTGCTGCACAGGCACTTCTGGGGAAGTTCACATTTTCCCCCTGGCCAGCTGTTAACTCCAACAGCGCCAACCGGGCACTGGCAGTGGGGGTGGGGGAACTCTGTGGTTTGCTTATGAGACACACAAAATGCACCAGCTTTCTCTAAAGGGTTAACGGCTGCAGACAAGACAGTCATATTGAGTTATACATGGCAAAGGGTGATCCGTGGGTGAGCAATGCAGACGAGCAAAAGAAAAAAAATGTAAAAAGGGGAAGATAGGAAAAAGAAAACCGCAAGGATATACACCATCCTCCCACCCC